TGAATTTTTGTGGTATTTCTCAGCGACAACACTTGTTACATTTCGTAACACAATGTATTGCTAGAAATGTATTACTCCGTACATTTTATGTTTAATTATGTACTAATATGAAATAATATCTAAATTCGAACATGTAGAGTGATTTTATTATTTGGTTACTAAACAAATTATATTAAAAAACATGTGCATATGGAAAAACTTGTGTACATATATTAAAAAATATTTATAAATATATCCTTATATTTTATAATATTTACGCGTTTCCCCCACGTTTCGTGTCCTATATTTTTTTAGAAATTACGTTTCTCGCGTTTCCCGTTTCCTGTTTCACGTTTCCTGTTTCCATGCTACTTAGGTAATCAAGAAATGAACATATACAGAACTTGGTCGGTTTCTACCCACCCTACCCTAGGAGTCTCCCGAACATAAAATTGTTTAGGGTTTTTCCTTAAAATATTACTATCTCCGTTCCAATAAACTTTGTCATTTCTTAAATTTGAATCATGACTATAATATAATGGAAGTTATAAATTTTATACTTTTATGAAACTACTTTTAATAAACAATATTTTCATATATTTTTTATATTATAAAAAATTTCCAATAAAAAGATATAGTTGGTCAAAGTTTTAAAAATGGCAAATATTTTTTGAAAGGATGTAGTACTAAATTGAAGTCAATTTCCAAAAATGTGATTACTCTTAAATATTGATAAAAATGTGATTAATAATGTCATATATGGAAAACATGATGTCACTGCAAGTTTATTGTGTCATTGTGATTTTTTGTGGCACTAAGCCACTAAGGCGGTGTTTGGCAATTGGTTTTGGGCTATTGTCACTGCAAGTTTATTCTGTTGGTTGATTGATGACAGTGAGTTTTGTTTGCTCTTTTGATTAATTGATAGTATTAGTTGTTTATAAAATAGTATTTGGTTAAACGACGGTTTACAATCGGCTGATAACTTGTTAACTTGCTTTTAAGGACATCAATTAATTTGTTTTGTTTACTAACTACTTTTATACTCCGTATATGTTTCACACATTTCGATAATATTATTAGTACAACTAATTTAATCCATTTTTATTTAATGAAAATATAACTTTAAACATGAATTTTAAAGAAGAAATTTAACACAAAAATTAACAACTAAGATTGAAATCTACATTTTTTTCTTGACTTCCGCTAGCAGCCGTCCCTTTTCTGATTGCCTTGCGGAAGAGAGTTGCCCTCTTTTTCTAGATACTCCGTATGAAATACAAGTTCTTTGTGGCCTGTGCTTTGAATACTCCAGCATTAAACGTCAAAACAACGATTGAAATCAGAGTATGGGTTTGCTGTTTTAGTAGACTTGGTTTAGGAGAAAGTCCGATAGTTTGGTGTAGGAGAAGCATCTGACGTTGAAGAAGAAAGCTTGCTCAATGGCCGTTTTTTTTTTTTGCGTAAAGTGTGGAAGATGAAGTGACACGAAGCGAAGGGAGGCAGTGCATGTAGAATAGGAATTTGCAATAGAAATTCAAACGGCCAACACCCTAAACGTCGGATTTATTAGCTTTTTTAATTTTGGCTGTTTAAGATAAAAAGTCAAGCAAAAAGGCCGATTAACCAAACACCCTATTAGTTGCTTATCTGGTCAAAATGCCAAATAGCAGTTCAATCAGCCAAAAAATGGTTGATTGCCTGCTAACCAAACACCCCCAAGAATTGTCACTATTGGATTTTCATGTTACTTACAAATGTCTTTATGGCCGTGAAACGTGTTACTATCCAACATTGTCGCCTGCCACGGCCGTCTTCTTGTAGACCGCTCATTGCCCCTGCCCTTCCCCATCCCCATCCCCACGCCTCAACACCCCAAACCCAGTGACCATCACCCAATCTAGTGTTGGACGCCGCCTTCGAGACTGCCTCGTACGTGCACCTTACTTAGCCTCAGTCCACTCCCTTGCCCTGCCATAACCCCCATATCCAGCACCCTTCCCAGCATCTAGCCACCTCCTCAACCCAACTTCCCAACCCTATCCCCCTCCCCAATCACAGCCACGCCACCTGCAACCTTAGCCATCCAAAATTAGTCGAGCCGCTGCTCCCCTGCCATTTGCTGCCGCCATCGTCGAACGCAGATCTCTAAATTTAATGTCGCCGCCGCTGCTAAGATAAAATCTTAACCCTATCTCCCTTACTACCATAAGCACCGCCTCAGTCCCTCGTCTGCAACCGTACCCTCGCTCTTTGCCCCGTCCCCAACCCTTGGTCTGCCCATGTCCAGCGCACTAGACACTGAAGCTCAAACTCACCCCCTTAGGGTTCACAATCAACAGCCTTCGTTGCCAATGTCGTCACAGAGAAAGAGAAGAAAACGAAGAGAAGGATGTATGGCAGCAGAGTGCAGACCGAAGGCGCATCAGCGAAGGCCCATCAAATGCAAGGTGAAATGGCAGAGAAGTGGAAGAGACTTACGAAGAAGAATGAATGATGTGAAGACACTTTTCTGTCCAAATCAATTTTAGTCATATCTTTGTCCAATATAAGCTGAGAAGTCCCTCGATTACCCGCTAATATTCATGCCATTTTTTCAGATATTTATGTACATGTATACTCTCTTGGTTTGCTGTTGAAAGTCCCTCGATTACCAAGTGTAGACATGGTCATTTTTCATTTTTGTCAACAATTGTGGCTTCTAGGGTGCTTCACACGATGACTCCTGCAGCTAGAGGTAGGATCTGTCTGATCTAGGTATTGCAATATTTGGTATGGATGAAGTATTATATAATAATTGGTGGATAAGGCTCAAATTAGACACTATGATTTTATGAGAATCTCATATTGGACACTAAGGTTTTAAATGAATCAAATTGGACACTATGGTTACATATGTATCTCATATTAGACACTGAAGTTTCATAATTCATAGTTTTTTGACACTCACTTATGATTCTCGATCTTCTTTCTTTAATAAAAATCGTTAGTCGTATATTTCCTTTCCTTTTTGGTGAAACTAAACTAATTTAATTACGTATATAATTTTGGAATATTTAATTTGATGTTTTAGAATATATATTTTGATTTTAATTAATAACTTCTTATATTTAACAATTTAAGAATATATTTAGGACTTTTCATTCATATGACTTTTATGGAACCTTAAGAAATATCGATTTGTTAAATTGATTTAACAATATTAAAGGATCCAATTACATTAGACTCCCTCTGTCACCTTTTAAATGTCTCGTTTTACCATATTGAGATGTCCCTATTTAATTGTCTCATAATTTATTTGGTAAAGTTTGTGTGGCTCAAAATCATTCTTACTTTATTCTTACTTTATCAAATAATATCAACCACACAAACTCACTTTTCTTAAAACTCGTGCCACCCTCTTCCAGGACATTTAAAAGTGGACGGAGGGAGTAATAGATTTTCTTAATTGGAACTTCTAATTATATATATTCTAAATCTAAATACACGAATTAAGTTATTTTTATTTTTTAGGTACATAAAACCTAGAGAAAAAGGAATACTTGTAGCTTTCAAGATGAAAATCTTTGGTGGGTGTTTGAAAATGACCAGAAAAATGTAAAATTTGATCCACTTGAAACTTTAGTGTCTAATATAAGATACACAAGTAACCATAGTGTCCAATTTGGTCCATTTGAAACAGTAGTGTCCAACATGAGATTTTTATATAACCAGTGTCAAATTTGACCCTTATCTCCCTAATAATTGGTAATGATAAGGTGTAATATAATACTCCCTTCGTTCCGAAAAGGTTGGCCAAAGTTGACTTTCACGTGGATTAATAAAGTAAAAACTGTGTGGTTGAAATTTGTGCAAAGGAGAGAGAATTAATTTTAGCCACATATTCCTTACTTTAAATGAAAATGATAAATCTTTTTGGGACATCTAAAAAAGAAAATTTGGCCATCCTTTTCGTGACGGACAGACGGAGGGAGTAATAACAAAACAATAATATGTCAGATGCTAGTTGTAATCTTACATGTGTGTGTAACATTCCATAACGATGACATCATGATGATGCATAGGTGATGTCATTATCAAGCAGGAAGAGTTAAATGCCAGATAGTCATGGACTCGAGTCCAGGTTGGCCTATTTTTGTTGTTGTGTACCCGAGACCGGCCCGGTGGTTAGCCAGTTACGGGTCGGACTGGGCCACCCATCCGGGTACCGGGCCGGGCCACCCGCCCGAGTTGGGCCGGTTACAATTTTTTTCCTTTCTTTTTTCCTACTTATTTCTACAAATGCTGCATATTAAAAACAAACTTCAAGTGCATTTATTTGAAATAGAATCTACATTTGAGAATTGAGAAAAAACTTACAATATGAAATACATTTTCTAATAAATAATAATATAATATAACATAATATAATATAAGTAATAAAATGGAGAATAAGAGAATTTGAGAAGATGAAGATGATTAAGAAAAATAGAATATTAGAGAGTAGAGAGTAGGAAGAGTTGGAGAAAAGGTGTTGAAAAATGTATAAAAATAGGAGTATTTATCCTTTTTTTACCCCCACCCCCAAAAAGCCTGGGACCCCCCTTCTCCCCTCCCAACGGCTATATAGCCGTTTGGGAGCCCTGCCCAACGGCTAGGGCCTTGTTTGGCTGCAATAAAAATAAAATAAAAATTTGACCGTTAGGCCCGAACTGGGCTCGGGCCCGACCGGGCCGGGTCACCATTTGCCAAACCCGAGACCGCCCCGCTAATCCGCTATACCCTGCCGGTTCGGGTCAAAGCCCGGTACCGGGACCTAAGGACCGGAACGGGCCGGTCCCACACAGTAGCGGGCCGGGCCGGTTCCCAGACCGGGTGGCCAGAACCGGGTCCAAGACTAAAGCCAGACGGCCCCTTATTCTATAAGGCATTTCATTGGATATTGCCTACTTTATACAGAGGAGAGAAATAAGGTGAACTACATTCATTATTTTAAAAACTTGCAATGTTTTTGAGAGAGAAACGTTAGACAAAATCCAATGGGACGAAGGAGTAGTAAATATATTATACAGAGTATATTATATGTAAAGATTTACTGGTATATTTGAATCCCCAATGGCCCAATATGGACCAAACGTGTTAAGTTTAGTTTAATTCATCTGTAAAAAATGACAAGGTCCACCCCGATCTATGTTTCATCAAGAATTCCACTTCAATGCCTGATGATTGACCACCAAATTAACGTATTTACAGATTTAGCACGGATGAACAAAAATCTGATACAAATCAGTCCTTGATGATTACAACAAAACTATGAAAAGGCAAACTACCACAAAGCACTAAAAGAGACCCATATCCATGTCATCAAAGAACAAAAATCATAGTGCCATCATTATACTGCTGGTGACCCGCAAACCACTTTATGGCCATATTTCACACTGCTTACACATTGCATTTGAGACAACCAAGTCATACTGGTACTCGCTTTCCCCGGTAACGATCAAAGAACTACATACATATGCATGAAGAGCAATGAAGGGCATTAGATATGCCAATGATCTTCAAGAGCCATATAAAATATTCTAGGTTTTTTTGTTTTGTAAATGAACATGATTTAAAGAGCTATCCATGATTCCTAATTCCTAGGAGTGATTATATTTTTACTTAATTTGTTTCAGAACCACGTCAAAACCGCATCTCTTTTATTTACACCTAAACTTAATTGTTTAACTCAACCAATCTAATACATATATTTTATGATTCTTAAAATCAAATTCAGAACCATCATTTTGCTAACAGCCTCTTAAAATGCTTCAGAACAGGCATCACATTTGGCACATTCCTATTACTCACCAACTACGGAGTACAGAGTATAATATTTTACTCCATGCGTAATGCGTTTAGAAAAAGAGGCCTCACAAATTAAGTAAAGCCTAATTTTCCTATAATTTGCAAGAATAAAAGTCACTTACAAGTCACTTATGATAAATTTAGGCAAACCAATGAAAAAAATTAAAATAAAAACTAATGACTTCTGATAATTTTCCTTAGCAAAATAAAAAAGTTATACGGAGAATTTAACATGATTCTTGTCATGTGGCAAGCACTTAAGTTCATGAATAACAGGATTTAAAAAACTACAAAATCAAATATGGAGTATTATGCAGACTGAGCTCGACAAGCTGATTATATAAGAAATGCCAATGCATCAGCGCAACTAAATACTAAGTATTTCATAAGACTAGTGATTCAGAAATGTTTCAAGAAATGAGAGGTGCCATACCGATCTGACAAAAGGCTGCTGAAAGAGCCAGCCGAGAATAGGTATCTTTTGCAGAAAAACTGCCAAAGTCGGCCAGAATCCACTGCAAAATATGTCAGTCAGCAACCTACTAAAACGACTGAAGTCGAAAACTCACACACAAAAGTAGAAGAAGCCACACCTACTAGAATCAATAAAAAAGCATGCCACTAACCTGAAAAGCACAACAAAACCATAAGCCTCGAGAATCATGCCCAGAATAGGCCATCCAATGACAACCAAGAAAAAGCCAACTCCAAATGACATTGTTCCCTGTGCAATGCTTGGAAAATGAGACCAACTACTATACAGACTCGCGTGAGAATATATATGCCTCAATAAATAAGTAAATAAATAAATTAAAGTATGACATAAAATATGAAGGCACGCAAATTATAAATGTGAGAAACTGAGAACGGGGTGGGGTATGACAAGAAAACAGTAAGAACCTTATAGTTGCTACGCTTCATGAAGAACTGCATGGATGGCTTCAGACCAATTGTTATGGCCACCCCAGATACAAAGAGGATCTGGTTCATTAAAGCAAATGTATGTTAATCGCTTGCGAGAGGACATAAGTGTAGGAAAATGAAGAGGAATTACACAACCGAGATAAAATCAAGGCTACTCACGTTTCCCATGGCAATTAGCCCCTTGTCGAAGAAGAAAATGATTCCTAAGAATGAAAAGAATACTCCGAATCCTGTCAACCCTAGACCAATCTCTGTTTCATTGAGCCACCACAAGTTCCTTAGAAAACATGGAATTTTGATAGCACACATTGTTTTCACTTTCTATTCATTTAATCTTCTAAAATTCATTCACAATATGATTATCAGAAAAGTGAGAAAACTAAATGATTCTAAATCGGACTAATGAACCATTGAGTTTAGTTGAGGCATAACTTTTTAGTATAATAATCAAAATCTAAAGTCAATACTAATATTTTGCCTATCAAGTAGAGTGCAGACTTCTTCTTTTCTTTTTTCCCAAAACTCTAGAAGTATGGCTTCTCTCTGATGCTTATCAAAAGCTCCACTTTCCCTTGTTAAACACTTGATTTGTCTAGACCAAAATGCCAATACGACATTCAAATATTCATTTATCTGGAACCTAAGTAGGAACTCAAACAATCTCTTCTTATCCAGCCTCAACAAGAGCTTCCTTACCGTTTCCCAATTATATCCACACAAAAAACCTCATATTATCATAACCAATGCTTTACTAAGAACAACTTGGGAAGACAGTAAGCCTAACCAAAACTTTCCTATGAAATCAAAGGAAATTTTAGGATCACAAAAATTAACTCCACAAGTATCTATTTCATACTAGAGATCATTTAAAGCTTGTAATAGAGGTGCCCAAATAAAACCAATGGACTTACTTTTACGATCGTTCATCTCGAAGGAAACCATTTCCGCAGATTCAGAATAGTCGGACAAGATAGGAAACTAAAAAACGCTCCGACGAGCGAGAAGAGAAAAAAGAAGTTAGAAATAGACCTAGACTAGAAAATCAAGCAAGATCTGGTTCAATTCCCAACTCGACGGATAAATTCAGAGATCCGGCCGTAAATAGACGCGTATATACGTGGAAATGAATAGAAAGCGCACCGACTATGCAGCCGGTGATGTGGTAGCGCTGTCCGAGCAGATTGCCGGGGAAGATGGGGTGAGAGAATGGATTTGCGGGAGATAGGGGGGGACTCTAATTACATGCCAAAACGGAATCCGCCCGCTGGCGTTTATGCCCGACTTTAACTCAATTAACTGAGTTAAGCAACACCATATGAATCTAAAATAAAGCAATAAAATAAATACTAATACCATTTTCCCATGACGGACTATATGGTGAGCACAATATAGGTGGTGATATTTTTTGCAAGGGAAAAGGGGCAAGCCTCTTGAAGTTGTCTATGCCCTTAAACTATTTTTTTGTGCAAAAAACTTTAAAATCCTTAAAAAAGAGAGCAATTAGCCCCTTTGTTGAATGGTGAAGAACTAACATGTATGGTACCCTTAATATTAAAATGACATGGACTATTTTTACGTTTTTAGTATAAATTAATAAAATAGTGGGGCAGATTTGCTTGATACTCTAAACTGATTAGGGTCGATTTTTCTTCAGGCTATCCGAACTAAAGTCCTTCAATTGCTGATTTCTCTTGACATAAGCCGTCTTCCTCCCTTCTCTACATAGGAATATAGTTCATTAAATCTTGGCTCATAGCATGTAAGTTTCATCGTAAGAAGCTCAGATTCAAACTCTATCATCTCCTTTTCCTTTGTTTCCCAAGGGTATCAGGTTGTCTATCCTTTTCCTTTTAAACATCAAATGTATATATCCCCGGGGAATGATCCTGTTGAGTAGGAGGGATAGGACCTTCTGGCCGCCCGCCGCCTTTTGAGGCGGTTCCCGGTGGAATTTTTTTATTACGAGCCCGTTTGGTGAGCATGTTTTCTGACCTATCAGATTTATCAATCAACTTTTTCACAAAACACGTAACTTTTGATTTCACGCGCTGAATTGTACGTAGTATAATAGTAAGAAAAAGTAAGGTTAGAGTTACTTTTCTAACTGTATTGGCTGAAGTTACTGTAGATGATCATATTAGTTATTTTTAATATAATTTTTTCTTTATTTTATTAATAAAATATATTTTATATATATTTTTTTCATAAATCAGCCAAATCAGCCAATACAGTCACTTCATTCAGAACTTCATAAATATCAGCAGAAATAGCCGATTCGGCCGATTTCAGTGTTACCAAACGGGCTCTAATTTTTTGAGCATGTTCCTCATCAAGTCTAGTTTATCTTCAAAAGAAATCAGCTAAAAATTCGATCGAGAAGGCAACCAAATATTACTTTGAAGATAACCACGCCAAATTATACATATAAAACGCAGTTATTTTCAAAAAATGATTTGACTGCTTTCCTGATCGAATTTTTAACTGAAATGTTTTGTGAATAGACTAGAATTGATGAGCAACATGCTCAAAAAATTCATCAAAAAAATTCACCGGGAACCGCCCAAACATCGGCAGCCAGACGGAGCATCTTGTCCCTCTAACCGGAAATTTTTCAGTCTTAAGCATCGAGATGCATCATAATAATTTTGCTGGTTAGTTTTGTTAAACGTTTTCTTCTAATTCCAAAATAGGTCTTTATAGTGTTTTTTAATTATTTGCAACCCTTTTAACATATTTATTGTATGTATGGGACGTCCATAGCAGTCAAAGGAGTAACTTTAACACCTCCCAATTCTGTTAAATAATGAGGAAAGTGTCAAATGAGTACATGAAATTGCGAGCGGGAGAGTAAAGAGTACATGATTGTGTAAGTGTGACTCAGAGGTACCTTAACTCGGAAAATAAGTGCTAATTTAGTCCACTCATAGATTAGGGCGGCTAAAACGCTGAGTTGTGAAAAGGATTAGTGATATGGCAAAAAAAACCACCTCATCCCTTACTCCATGTTAATAGTTCCACAACCCTACCTAGTAAATAAATAAATGCAGCCTTTTGTTTTTTTATTAAAATTAAGATTCAAAGGACATAACAGACTTCGAACAGGGCATACATTTGCTGATACACGGCTTATGAGTAGCTCTGCTGCTGGCCATACGTGTTAGTCCCACGAGAAGGATACATGTCTGAATTGAATGAGAGAGTGGAATTAAAATAAAAATTGGTGAATTAGTAGAATTGTAAATCAATCTAGATTAAGCTGCAACCGAACCCAAAATTAAGTTAAAGAAAAAGAGTCGAGAGACCTCTTTAAATCAAAGTGGGCAGAAAGTTGAATAGAGTGAACCTATTGACTCATGCGAAACGAGGCGATGCTGCAGCAGCGGCGTTGATGGGCAACGGACGGAGGGCGGCGGCAGCAAGGATAAACCGCGCCTGTAAGACCTGAAACCCTTGCACTGCAGACCTGGCTTACAAGGTAGGGTTGTAACCGGATGATGTGGCTTGTTTTTTATACCATATCACTAATCTGTTTGCCGACTCAGAGTTTTAAACTCCTAATGCCTGAGTGTACTAAATTAACACTGATTTTACGAGTTAAGGGACTTCTGAGTCACGCTTACACAATTATGTACTCTTTACTCCCTCGCTCACAATTTGATGTACTGATCTGACACTTTTCTCGTTAACTAATTCTGTTAGTTAAAGGGGGTGATTGCACTCCCTTTCAAGGATTTTAAAGTTTTTTGCCCAAAAAAATAGTTAAAGGGCATAGTTGCACTTTAGTGACAAGTTCGGGGGCTTTTTGCCCCTTTTCCCTTTTTGTAATTTAAGTGAAGTACAAAGTGATTCATTCCCAAAGAATACAACCGTAAAGGAGGGTTTGATTACTTTAATGTCTATTCACTTGTTACACGAATAACTTCAATTTGAATGCTACTAGAAATAGCTGCATTGAAAAAAAATGGAAATTCATCAAAATGGATGTAAAACTCCATTATTTTAATGGTAACTTATAGAAAAGAAGATTTTTCCATAAAAATATCCTTATGGGTTAAAGCTAGTCTCCAAGCAAATACATGACAAAATTGATGGTGTAATGTTGTTTAATGAATTTAAAATCAACGAGGCCAACAAGTGTGTTAAAGTGAAGGACAATCATAAATTGTCCTTGTAGAGATAGCTCCATGATATGCCTAGTGTGTAATTTTTTTTTTAAAGAAAAACTTACTTTAATCATTATTGTGATATTTCACTTAATTTGATTCCGGTTTAATGAGAACAGAGAAAATAATAAGAATTCACTTGAATCTGAAATGTGAAATCTCACTTAATCAAAACTGTGAAATCCAATTAATATGAACTGCAAAATCTGATTAGATTAAACTAATAAAAATCTGGAAAAAATATAACATACTACCTCCGTCCCCCTAAGTTTGGGACAAGAGAAGGTGGCACGGTTATTAATAAAAATGGGTTTATGTGGTTGATATTGGATTGATAAAGTAAGAATAAAGTAAGAATGATTTAGAACCACACAAATTTTACCAAATAAGGTATGAGACAATCTTAGTAAATTATTATGATTTTTTTGGAAGAATGTGACTTATACTAAAATAATAGAACTTAAGCAAGATACAAAACGAGAAAAAGTCATATGTCTACTGTTTACTCTGAAACCAGGCTTAGAATCTATCACCTCCGTAGAAGCAATAAGATTCGTTGATCTTGTAATGTGTTAAACTGAGCCAATGACAAGCAAACCATACTTCTCATCACATGTTTTAAATTCTAGAGTTTTTCTGCTATGAAATAAAAACACAACCAAAACAACATGCAGTTTAAAATAAAAACACAAACAAAATCAAATGGAATTAAAACGGAGTTCACTTGTCTTTTTCCAAACCCCAAACTCTCTTGCAATCTATGACAAGGGTTCAGTAGGGGGCGAGCCAACAATACTGTTGCTTCTTCCTCACTATGCCTCTTATTCATCATGTTTTCAGCCAAGCCTCCACTTTCGCCACCAAACACAGATGACCCCAAGCTTCACCCATGACCTTCTGATCTCAGCCATGAACGACATCCTCAAAACTCTCCACATGTTGTCAGAGGTGCACGACCTTCAGCAGTCGCAGACCATGTTAGGAATTACACTCACGCACACGAAAAACAATAATGAAGAACACACAAAATTTGGTAACTCAGTTCGTCACGAATGACTACGTCTGGGGGCGCTACCAAGCCAGGAATATTATTGCTATTTTCGGATCCACACACAATGATTACAAGGGAGAGAGCTTGTATTTATAGAGAAGTAAATCCTAACCCCAAGGCAACTAGGATGTGTTTCCTAAATTAAATTAAGGAACGTGTTTCCAAAAATAAATTAAGAAACTGTCTCTAACACCTTACAATCTCCCACCTAGAGACTGTCTTCTTCAAACCTCCCTTGTAAGCATGGTAGCGCCGACCTTCATCTTCAAGTACCCAGGCCAATTGAAGCTATGCAAAGCTTCAATTTCTCCAAGGTTACCGCCTTAGTAAACATGTCTGCTGGATTCGCACTCCCACGGATCTTCACAAGCTGCAATGCCTCTATCTCCAGAAGATGACGGATGTAGTGATACTTCAACCGAATGTGTTTGGTTCTCTTGTGAAAAGCTGAGTTGTTGGCCAAGAAGATAGCACTTTGACTGTCACTATAAAGAATGCTATTGTTGTACTCCTTCCCAAGTTCCCCAAGTAAATTCTGAAGCCACACCATCTCCTTACTTGTCTCCGTAATGACCACATATTCAGCTTCAGTGGTAGATAATGCAACAATCTTCTGCAGCTGCGAAAGCCACGAAACTGCCGTTCCACCAAATGTAAAAACATACCCGGTGGTGCTCCTCGATCCATCTGAGTCATTCGATGTCAGGTCTGCATCAACATGTCCCAGCAACTCTACATTCATCCCATCAAAACACAAAGCATTAGAAGCAGTACCTTTCAATTACCTCATGATCCACTTCACAGCTTCCCAGTGTTCTTTCCCGGGGTCTCCCATGAATCTGCTCACTACTCCCACCGCATGTGCAATGTCTGGCCTCATGCACACCATAGCGTACATGATGTTGCCAATTGCCGATGTGTATGGGACATTCTGCATTTGAGCACGCTCCTCCTTGTTCTTCAGTGAGTCTTCCTTGCTAAGCTTGAAGTGACTACCCAACGATACACTTGCTGCCTTTGCATCTTGCATTCTGAATCTTTCCAAGACCTTCTGAATGTATTCTGCCTGTGAAAGATACAATCTGCCTGCTGCCTGATCCCTCTCGATTCGCATGCCCAAAATCTGCTTTGCTTCTCCAAGATCCTTCATGGAAAAACGTTCTGACAACTGTTTCTTTAGCTTCTCAATCTCTTTTGAACTAGCTCCTGCAATCAACATGTCATCTACATA